TCTTCCGACCTCTTGACTTAGTATCTGTTTCCTTCCACACCTTTTCCAATTTTCCCATACGCCCTGGCTCTCCTTGGCCAGCTCTATTGCTGCCGATAGTCTCAGCGGTCCCTCTTTCAGCACGTCGTGACGAACACGCTCGTCGCTTAGTGCCTCCACATACAGGTCTGCAAACTGAGCCTGCATGACCGCATTGTCTCTCACCACTTCTGGGAAGGCCAATGATGACAGCTTCCCTGCTCGGGCCCCCAATTCTCCAGGGGTTTCGTCCCGCAGCTGTGTCAGCTTTAGGAGGGTCCTCATGGCCTCTATAGCCGTGCCCTCGTCGGCGAATTCCTTGGTCAATAGTCCCTTTAATCTTTCCCAAGACAAGTGGGGTTGACTCTCCAAGAGCTCCTTCATAAACTCAGAGGCTTTCCCCTTTGTGGCATCGTATGCCAGATACAGGGTTTCGTGGTCTGTGAGTTCATATATAACTCGGCTCTTCTCCAGGATTGCCAGCCAGTTTTTGAAATCTTTCCCACTGCCGTCAAATGCTGGGACCCTCGGTCCACCCAACACCTTCTTAGGTCAGCTGACAACCCCTGTCTAACCCCCTCTTCATCCCCCACTGCTCTATCTGAATCATAGTCCGACATATTTAAAGAGAAAGACAATCTACACAGCAACAATCGAGGTTGGGAAATCAAACAAAGTGTCCTACCTTACAGGCAATTCTGTTCTCGTTCCTCTCGGTCCCGGGTCGTTTTGAGTTCTATTCGAAATTTCTCAGCAACAGCGGTCGATCCAGGATCCTGTCCTGCTGTCACGGTCCTATCCTGGTCACGGCACCAGATGTGACGTCGTCCCCTGGTCGCAGCGCCAACTGTGACGTTCTATCCTGATCTACCACGGCACCAGTTGTGACGTCCCCAACCAGCACCAATTGTGACGTCCTCGCCGCGGCGCCATCTGTTCGCTCCTCGCTGCTCCGTTCGGGTGTCGCTGCTCCAAACGTGACGTCCGCCTGTCGCGTCAGTCGTGTTGTCTCGTCCTGTGATGACCAACTGGCTTGGTATCGGTCGCGGCGCCCAAATGTGACGTTCTCACCTTTTGGTGATTCGGGTGGGAATCTGGTTAGATTTGATATCAACCTCGTCGTTCCCAACTCGCTTCCAACGCCTGGTTACCAAGGTAAATGCATTGATCTCCAGTCTGCCTACCCACGTTGTGAATTGATCTTAGGCAAACGAGATCAATCAGTAGTCGAGGCCGAAATGCAAACTGAGTTCAACGGGGGTGATACCACACAAATATGCATAAAAGAAAATAAAATGAAAACTCAAAAAGTTCAAAGTATCAAAGAAAAAGGTAACAAACTTTATGTCTAGTTGTTCGATAAATAGGACTGCATCTATCTCCCGACCCGTTCTGTGGATTGTGACACGTCGTTTTCCGTTAGGCAAGTTTTAACGCTTCAAGTTGTTTGCTCTCTAAGAAATTGGTGTTTCGGTGTGTCTTTGGACGAAAGTCGAAAAAAAACTTATTTCGGTGGTTTGGATCTAAGTCGCTCTTCAAAATAATTGTTCTTGGGTTGAAGAGGAGTCCGGAATTTGCGTGAATCTTGGTCAGCTGAACTCACTGGAACTGCTGGAACTCAACTCCCCGCTGGAGCCCGAACTGATTTCGGCTCGTAGGGGCTTCGCTTTTATGGACGCCGACCAAAACCGGGGTGGGTCTGTCGGCGTCGGGGTTTCTTCGATAATTCTAAATACATATCCACATCTTTTATTTCTGGTTAGGGATTTTCCACTCTTTTCCATTTTTGGGAACCTTTTCTCACTCCCACCTTCTCACCATACTTCAGAGGGCGTGAACTGCCCTTCCCACTTCTTCGTAGCAGCTTCTCATACCTATACTGTGGATGAGGCGTTGACAGCCTCTTTCGTGCGTTACGTGATCACCACTTGACCAATGATGTCTTAGTCGGCGTGGACGAATCCGCGGCTTTGTTTCAGGAAGAAAAAAAATATCTTGCTTAACAAAAAAAAAAAAAACTCTTCTCTTTCCCTTTTCTTCCTCTTAATCGCCGTTATCATTTCCCTAGCCGCAAACGGGACAATATAACTCTTGTTCTACACATGGTTTTCGTCAGGTATTTTTATCGCCAATTATCAGAATGGGTAGTTTTCTTAACACGGCCTCAAAAAAGAAACATCTCTAAAGTTTCAGTCAGTCTGTCGCTTCGAAGAAAGAAGAAAAACACTTCTGGGTCCCCATTCATTTTCTTTCGGTACATATTTCTGATAACATAATTTTATTATCGTAGGCCAAAGATGTTCTGCGGCAAGAAAATCGGTCAGTGTAGTTACTTCGTGTGTGTCGCGATTAATTTTTCCATATCTACCCAAAGCCCTGTAGTTACACCTGTGTTTTGTCAATTATCAAAATTAACGTTTTCAATTGGATTTACTTTGGCCAGTCGACCAGCAGTTTGCTTACGTACCCCTAGATAACACAGCCGTTATCAAAACACATCTGATTCTTTCTTTCTTTCCCTTTCTTTTTACTCAGAATTTCCCTGTCATTGTAATGACACCCTTTCGCCATTTGTTACTTATCAATATATTCATCGTCTCTTAGCCGTGTCTGTGTCTGCTTATCACCCACGATTCGTCTCGCCTTTCTTTCTGCCTTCTTTTCTTTCTTTTCCTTTTCTGCCTCGTAAATGGTGCCACATAAGGGTGAAACTAGTCAAAGCCTGAAAGATAGACTCGGGGAAAGTTATCTCTAACAGAGAACTAGTAAAGTCGCTATGGCAGATCATATATAAAATTACCCGTTACACTTTTTGAAAAGAATATTAAATAAAAGAGAAAATTGAAAGACGTAGTGTATATATATATATATATATATATATATATATATATATATATATATATATATATATATATATATATATTAAAACGAGTAAATGTGTGAATTTTAACGCGCTATCAATGTTTATGTTTAGTAAAGATAACAAAAATCATGTAATTGTTTGGCCGAACAGGGGTTAAGGGTGAAATAACGAGATAATAAAATTAGCTAAGAGATGCCAAGTACAGGAAATTATAGAGAGCCTTGATAGCCCACGTCCTGAAAAGATTCGGAGGATTAGAAGCATCATCATTATGATCATCATAATCTCCGCATGTAAAATACGGAATGACCTATGATACACCCGGTGTTAAGAACAGGATAACCGAAATATTTTATGTCTTGCTGCAAACAGTTTTAAATTAACACCAAGACAAAAAAAAAAATTCATTTTTTATACAGATTGTCCACTTGATGAAGGTTGACTCGGCTGTAATTTTGCTATCATAAGACAATGAGAAAAAACAAAGTTAGTAGCCCGAACAACACACGATTGAATGATAATGACACTGCTCAGATGTTTCCTATATTTTTACGAATTCAGGAAAACCAAAGTTTATTAGGAATTCAAATTTTGTACAAAATGCATAAAATAGAAATATATAGAAATCAATAGAAAAAAATGAAAAAAATCTTTCATAGAAAATATTCAGTCATATTTTTTTTTCTTGCTCTACAACAATATGACTTTTACTTTCTTCTTTTGTTGAGATAATCTTTCACTCCGGATATAGATAAACACACACACACACACACACACACACACACACACACACACACACACACACACACACACACACACACACACACACACACACACACGCTTGCTCGCGCGCACAGACTTCCACCCACAAAGAGATATATATGATAAAATATGGTTTTAAGGTATGCTATATTTATGGTTTAATGTGCTCAGTATCAAGAATAGAGCTTGTGTAAATATATAAGTAGACATTGAGGTCAACATCCAGCGGCGATAGTCTGTTTCATCAAGATCATCACATCATGTGCGTTATGTTTTGGCTCGACTATTTATATATACTGGGACCAGTATATGAAAATAATGATATACGTCTAGCCACACTGATGAGCTCTGATACAGCGAAACAGTCTGTCTGTGGATGACAATTTATATGCTCCTGAAAAATTTATTTCGGTTGAGCTCTCTGGGGAGGAAGTGTGGGTTTGTAAACAGTGACTATTACAGCTAATAATGAAAGACACTTCGGTAAATCGAATCGAGTTCTCTCAGTCACTGTGTGTTTATCTAAAAATAAATACGCTTAAATTCACCTTCAACGGCTTAGTGGTAGAATCCCCGTCTGATGCCAATTCAGTCGGGTTTCGATCCTAGCTAGAGGCAAACGGACGTCTAGCCACACTGATGAGCTGCGATACAGCGAAATAGTTTGTCTGTGAATGAAAATATATATAGATATAGCTAGATAGATAAATAGAAAGATAGACATACATATGTAAATAAACTGAACTAGCTAGATAGTCACAGCAGATATAGATTCCTATAGGAATGAAAACACTGTCATCAATAATGATGCATGTAGCTATTACCTTCATGTTCCAAAATCTTTTGCAAATTAGAGATATCTTCACATTTTTACTCATATTTAAATACAATTATCATCATTGACATTCATTATTTGACAAATATTTCTCCTCGACGATTAGATTTCGTCTTCTTAGCTGTTCTGTTTGAATTTAAAAATCACAAACCTTTCTATTGGGTACATTGGCGATTTTCCCATTGCTCCAGTAATTAAGGCCACAATTGACGCCTTTAACATTTGGTAAGATTTTCTTATGACATCTATTATTATTATGTCACTATCTATTCTTATTCTTCTTATTATTATTATCATTGTTATTATTATTATTGTTGTTGTTGCTGTCTTTGTTGTTGCTTCACTTTTGTTTCAATTTTGTCTTCAATCATAAGGCAATCAGAGAACAAATGAGGCGAGGAGAAACAGGTAAATTGAAGAAAGCATTCAATTTAGAGAAAACGCGAGAAATGCAAAATGTTGCAAATCTTATCCGTTTAAGAAATGTCGAAATGTGGTAAAACCATTCACAGCCGTTTTCACCCTACGGAGAGAAAAGCGAAGGAGAAATGAACGTTGAAGAAATAAACGCCACAAGGTGTTGGGGGATGGCTACCAGGTGGCGCTGTCATATCACACTGCAGCAGGGACGAACCAATCAGCGCCTTGAATGCTAACGGCTTGGTTTATGATATGCTTATGATTATGGGTGTCTGTTGAACGGAAGTGAACTGTGTTTTGCCCAGGGCTTCAGTGAAGCACCATGGTGGGTCGCAGTATACTGCTGGCCGTGAGAACAGTTATGTGACATTAAAAAGGTGCAGTTGATATGAAAAGAGCGAATAGGCTGAGAAAGTGAGAGAGAGAATATGTTGGGTAAAGAAAATAAGTCTCATTAAAGAGAGAATAGACTGAAGGATAATGATTTTGAACTTAAGAGAGAAAAGTAACGAAAGTGGGTAAAGAGAAAAGGTTGATTTAAGAGAAGAATATGCAACAAATGAATGAATATTTGAGGCTAACTTTATTAAAACATATCATTTATACCCTTTGTCTCTCCTGTCTCTGTTCATTATAGATATAGAACTGGAAAAAAATCACTGAACTACACAGAGCAAACAAACTGAAGAAGCTAGCCTGCGAGATAGATAGATAGAAATATAAAGAGAAACTAAAAGGCAGAGAAATACAGATTTAAAATCGGATGATTTTTCTATTATTTATAAAGGGAAAGTGAGAGGAATTTAGAAAATAAGAGATAAAAATAACTGCATAGCAGAAGAAGCAAGCAATAGAGTATCGCTTGGCTATGGCTATACTATAATAGAGAATATAATAAAAACATAAAAATGATGCATAATAAAAAATAAGAATAATATAGGAAAAAAATAAAGACAAATAAAAAACAAAAGTGAAAGTGAAAGTAGAATAAGTAAGAACACTGGAAAAAAGGCCGGAGAGGGAATTTTTATGGTAAAATGTTCTGAATCGATATTCAGTCTTTTGACCGTTCAATTGATTATTAACCGCATCTCTCTCTCTGTCTCTCTCTCTCATATATATATATATATATATATATATATATGTATATATATATATATATATATATATATATATATATATATATATATATATATATATATATATATAATATGCTCCCTGTCTCTCTCTCTCTCTATATATATATATATATATGTGTGTGTATGTGTTTATTAGCTGTTGTATAGATGGATAGGAAACGTAGCATAATAGTCCAGTCAGAAGACGCGTAGTGATGAAATGAATGTTTGGCGTAATAGTGAACAGCACATTTACGCACATGATAGTACTTGTGAAATATCTTTGTATCCCAGTGGACTCTCAAAGGCTACTACTGTTAATACACACACACACATGAAGCACACACTAACGCACACACATACAAAAAAATACATACACATTCTCATATATATATGTAAATACTGGGAAGGGTGTCGATCGAGAACTTTTAAATGTCAACTAACATGGATGTCTGTTTACGCGCGTATATATATACACGTGTGTGTGTGTGTGTGTCTCTTCGTCTCTCTCTCTATATATATGTGCATATATATGAACAGAATGAGCTTTCATGTTCGTTGTTACAAGAAATGGTCGCGTTAATGAATCCACGTATAAAGCAAGATTTTAAGTAAACGTTTTCAAGTCAGAAAGAGCTTTGTTAATTTGAAGTTTGATGTGACAAAATCCTCCCTATCATTCACTTCATTTGGCCTTGTGCCAGACGTATATATGCATAGTGTCTGCTTTTTCATATATCTTGACATCATATATCAAATTTGTCTCACTGTTGTAATAGTGGCGTATTTCCTCACGGGCACTGATGCCCGGAGTTGTACGCCTAAAAGTTTGAATGCAGATTTTCAAGCGAGCAACGTTGGTATGAACAAACACAAATAGATAGATAGATAGATTAATGTATAGGAATTGACTGAGATAGATAGATAGATAGATAGATAGATAGATAGATAGATAGATAAAAAAAAAAGAAATGAAATAAGAAAGAAAGGTAAGTACAACATGAAAAATATTATTAAGTGCTGATAAAAAAGCCGGAAGATGATAAAATATACAAAACATGAATAAATGTTTCGTAAAACATAACAGTGGACGAAATGAAACGCATCGCAGGAAGAAGATTACTTGAGATTGACAGTTGACATAGTGCGTGGAATCTGCTCTTAAAAAAGTTCGAACAAGCGGAGATTTTAAAATGCATAGCGAAACCCAGAGAGAAAGAGATGACGTGTAGGAGTGTGTTTGTGTGTCAGAGAAGGGAAACAGAGGAGGAAAGAAATGAGTAAATAAAAGAGGAAAAGGGAGAGACATGAATAAATGAAAAAGAAAGAGAAAGGAAAAAAAGAAATGAGACAGATAGAAAGAGAAAGAGAAAGAGAAAGAGTGATTCAGGTGACAATCTCTACTGAAAGGTAATAGGTATATATAAGCAGTAAAGGTCTAAAAGAAATATGCCACTTGTCGTACGCCCATAAATATCGATCGACATTTCGCCCCCCCATCTCTCTTTTCACGTAAACTGTGGGTAATGTGTTATTCTGCAGCCTCAACACTAATCTCGCCAACCTCTTCTTCATTTTGCCTCCCACTTTTCTTTCGCCTCTTTTAAAATTCGGCCATCGTCATTCCCTCATCCGTATCTTCACAATTGGCACGGTCGGGTTTTGCGTGGCAGCGGCGTCGGGTGGCGGGGCTCAGCGAGGAAGAGGGCATGGCTGGAATATGTTCAGAAGACGTCAGCAAAAATCGCAGGAAATACGTAGGATGTTGCCAGACCGTTAAATCACGTGATCGTTTCAATGGTGTTAAATGGAATAGGCAGTTCGCTCATTGCAGCAAATATTAAAGCCACGACGATGTTCAAGAGGAGAAGAAAAGCATAAATTAATAAATTAAATAGAAATACCAAATGTCGAAAAACGATTGTTTAATTGATACAATACACAGAGAAAATCTACAAATTTAGAAAAAGATCATTTGCGTTATTTGATTCTGAATGCCCTATTAGTGTGACCCTTTTCCAAACTCAGGAAAGTGTTATGCGTGGTTACTGAAAAGTAACTCCCTATATGATGGACTTTCCCGTTTAATTATAATTTTTAGTAGACGGAAGAGTCCATCATACATAAAATAGGGTATTATTTTTCAGTCATCGTGTAGAAAATTATAAAACGAATATTTTCCACGGCCCATTCTATAAAAGGACTCTTCCAAAGTAAAGTTACGGTATTTATTAAACTTAGTACAAGGCCATATTATGAGGCAATACATGAGAATCAAACTGATTATTCTGCAGTTATGGTACGATAAACGATCTCACTAAAAATTTGTCCACGGCAAAGTGTCACGCAAAATAATTTATAAGTAGGTGAGTTTTCTCAGTTTTCCCAGCAGTGAAACAGATTCTTAACAGAATGATGCTCTGCTCGAATAAGGTTGTTATAAATTGCAGTGTTGCTCGAACATTTTTTTCTTTGATTATCAAGAATTTTTGAATATTACAGCATAAAAAAAAGTCTTTTTCAGTAGTACGGCCTCCTTACTAAAAATCATAAAAGAAGCACTTGAAAGAAAAATTACATTTCTAATATCTCATGTAAGAATAAAATATAAGGAAGTAACTTGTCATCTCCTTCGATGTGTAATAAGTCATAAGGTGATAAAGTAGCTTGATAGCATATATAATTTAATTTTCTTTTATACAGGTTATGAGAATGTATCGTCCTGTGGATTGCATTGGTGGGAACAAGGTTATTAATTCTTTTCCGTTAGCCATTAATTTCTGTAAAAAAAAAAGAGTCGCCTCTTTTTCCTTTCGGATTGTATACACAAATAAGGCTGTAGAATGGATTAATCGAAACAATTGAGATAACAAGCAAAGCAAAGAATGGATTTATTCGCACGTAAAATCCATGAAATAATAAAACATAAGTTTCATAAACATTTTTCTTCGTCTGTGCTGGTTAACGTGCTAGTAGATTTTTGTTAGCGTAACGACTCCAATACATTCTAAGGACGTCTAACATATTACGTATTCTTCCCCTGTCTAGTTAAAATAAAGAAAACAATTTCAAAGACTGGTTGGTATCTTCCACGCTAATGACCGACTTTGTAAACAAATAGAATCCTCACAACGCAAAGGCATATTCCTTGAAAAGGAAAAAGAGTGTGCACTTGAAATCGAGCAACTATCACAAAAATCATGTTTCAATCGTGATGAACAATAGACAGAAAATCATGTAAATCGTTTATGTGATTATATTAGGTGATTACAGGTCAAGATGGTAGTATAGCACAATGCGATGACATTTCTGGCGGTGTAAAGAAGCAGTTAATCATAGAGGTTACTGCCACACCCTCAATAAATGACGCACTTGGAAACATGCTACACACACTACACTCAAGATTGTATACAGTGGAGATTCTGGGAAGATTTTAAACGTTCCAGACCACGGCATTGCTGGTGTCTGCAAGGATAAGAAGAAAGCTATTGGAGATTTAAGGAGCCTTCCTGTAAATCAGTTTCCAGTGATAAGCAGTAAGCATTTGGTGTAACTATGGCGTGACTATGCAAATTCATGAGATATAAGATTAATAATAATAATATAGCAACACATAGAAAATACTAGAAATTTAAGAAGACTTGCTGTCACTTGATCCACAACAAAAACTACCAAATATAATGTGTGTAATAATAATGATCTATTCTACAAAAATCACCTTACATCATATTTATAAGTCTCAAAAATGGTTAAATTTATTATTACGAAACGATCAACCATATCATATTATACAGGAATAAATTGACACTTCAAGAAATCACAACAAAATAAATTGAACGTAAGCCACAGAATCTATAAATGAAGATTATGAATTAATGGAAGTAAACTCATAAATTATTCCAGTCTGCCAAATTGTTACATCGTTAATTTTCCTCGTCAGCATTTTCCGGTCGATCCTTACTGATTTAGATAACGCTGTTTAAAAAATTCATATGTTAAATTAATAAATGATAAATGTAGACGTATGCTATATCCATGACGTCAGTTATTATGCTTCAAGAGTCGCGCAAGTTAATTTCATGAAGCCAAATTATGTTTGGACGTTTCGGGTTCTTTTTTTTTTTTTTAAATATATCGCATTTGTTTGGTTTTAAGATTGGTTAGCGGTACATTGAGCTATAAAAGCTTGAAACGAAATAGTTTTCATATTACGGATGACTTGTAATTTTCGTATTATCTCGCAAGATATGTAATTCATGTAGGATGAATTAGGCAACAGTAAAGACGATTAGAAGAAAATATCAGTAGCAGCAACAGCAGCAGTAGTAGTAATAGAAATTGTAGAAGTAGTAGTAATAACACAATTATCTAAGTGTTAGAATAAGTGACAATTTAAAGTCAAAATCCCTGAAGTTTTGGACAACACTTTGAATATACACTGACGGAAAATAAAATTGCAAATCAGGAATTTATTTCAGTTTACTCTTTAATCATGATTATATATACAAGTAATATAGCTGGATTGGAATAACTGATTACATATGCAAATCAATACATGCATAAGTCTTAAAATAAAGAACAATAATCATACTTCATATTACTATCATTCATATCTTGCTTAGTATACAGGTTCTTATGTCTCTGATCATACAGATGACGAAATCCTCTCCTGTTACAATATTCCACGCTTTTTGAGGCAAGTGTATTATAGGTAGATCAAATGAAGCAGTCAGTGTGGTTCCAACATGTCCCAGATAATGTTCATTGAGAGACAGGTCTGATGGTTGTGTCGCCCAGGAAAGTAGATGAACATCTTGCAGGGCATTTTGGAGTAGTACAGGCATCATATGGGCAGACATTATCCTGCTGGAATTGCATCTTATTTTTCTGTTGTAGTAAAGGTAACAGAATATGCTGAACTATATTCTGGGCGTACACGCCACTCTTCAATGTTCTCTCTACAAACACCAAAAGCCAGGAGGATTTATGACGTAAGATACGCCACACTAATGGTGTGTGTGTGTGTTGTGAGCATATTCTTTTTGCTTCACCTGTCTATGTCTGACATACAAACGACTATCACACTTGCTTGAAGTCAAAAGCTCCGTTCCCATCACTAAAAATGCAAAACCCCATTCGATTCATGTGATTCTCTCTCTCCCTCTCTCGTTTAAAGCTCAAATACTCGTTGCATTGGTATGACGACTCGAGTCTATCACAAATATATTTGTGATTTCAGTCTCATGTTTTGATCTTAAACGCGGATATTTAGGAGAGGATTCCATCTCTGGCGCAGGTCTGACCAGAAGGATAAATTCTTTCACAGCAGCTACAGTAGAAGATCGTGCAACCAGATGAAATTTCATTGTAAATCCTTGTATGTCACCAACGGATTGGGGTCGTAGAATGAATTAAAGGTTGAATGTTCTGTGGATTAGCGATCATACGTCCACGATAACAGTAAATTCCATAGTTTGTGGGTTTTTTCATAATGTGTCCTTCTTTTAAGCAGTGAAACTAGCAACTTAGGAGCTTTGCCATCTCTTAATGGGCCAACTTCCAGGAAGGTTACTTGGCGTAGATCGTATGATATTTCTGCAAAGCTGTAGTTCATAGGTGGTAAGGTTTTGATGTTTTGAAGTTTTAATGTATGATATCTCTTACGTGTATTCTACCTCGAGTGTTGGGACTTTAACTACCAATGTTATAATTTACTTTATTCCAGTTACTTTATTTTTTTACTTTAAGATTGACGTGTTTTCCATTGCTTTATATTTCAAGTAACTGGAAACATTCCTGATAAATAAGTATTGTTATGGTGAAATTTAAATAAACGGGTTTAATATTTATCTTTAAATAGCAATTTACTTGCTCAAAATATAAGGAAATATTTACATAATTATATATATATATCCAAGTATAGGATTGGTGTATACGGAATAGATTCCAATAACCCAAAATTAATATTCTTAAAAAAGTGCTCAATACAGAGTAGAGAAAATATAATTTATTCGAAAAATAAAATAAAAATAATGGCTATTTTTGTAGTGATTTTTGATGTTATAATATTCGAATAAATTATATATATATATATATATATATATATATATATATAACATAACTATTATATATATATATAACATAACTGTATATATATATATATAACATAACTGTTATATATATATATATATATATATATATATATATATATATAACATAACTATTATAATGATGCAGCATTTGTCTTCGGTTGCTCTCCGTTATTATAGAAATGTTTCCTCTAATGTTAAATCTAGTGAACATGATGAATATTCACCGAAAGCTTTCGTCCGATCCACTTTCCCAAAACATGTTGGACCTGAACATATAATGAAAACAAAGTTGGGCCTAATCTTGAGAAAATCAACCTCTACATCAAGTAGCCAAAGAGTCCATGCCAAACTCTTCTTTAAGACGTATATGCATATGTCTTGTGCATCCTGTACTAAATTACTTTTTTTGTTTTGACTTTTAAAACATATTTAAAATCTTCAAATATCAACTTTCCAACAATTCCTTGTCTATTTTCTATTAATTCAAAAACAAAATTTGGTCTGAGGGACCTTTCTTCGAAATGTTACCGTAAACTCGTACCCTGTTCACCCTCCCTAATGAAAAACGCCAAACAATGGAAAATATGTGTCGTTGCTGACTACTACAGAATTCTGCCCT